TTTTATTCTTGTGCTCATTTTCCGCTTATTTTTAAACTAGAGATGTAGTCATAGTTGTTTTTGTTGCTCTCGCACGAATGCACTGATAGATCTATGATCTTCAAGGACTGCAGATGGAAGTCCATCCAGGCTTGCCCATTCTATGGGGCTCTAGTCCATCTTCTTCCATAGGTCCAACATAGGGAGTTCTATTCAAAGTTGGAATGACCTTTCTTAATTTCTCTAGAGAGCCCAAGGGTAAAAGCCCGGTATGCTGGGGGGCCATCTGTCATTCCTCACCCTTGCTGGATAACCAGCCCTTCCTGTCATATTCATCTCTTTGATGCTAATTTGTACACTCCTGTTCTTTGGGGCTCCTCCTTGGTAGTAAATCGTGGTGTGATCACCTTGACTATGCTAGAATTTTTAGAGAGAGAAAAAAAAATTCAAATGAAATTAACAACTTCCCACTGAGATTCAAAACTCTGGACTTAACCCTTTCCAGCCTGGAAATTCTTCCCTCCCTAGGAAGTGATCGCTGATAAATAATGCCTCTGCATCCTTCTACATCTAGGATTGGCTCGATTCTTTTCACCCTGGGATCCTCCAACCGTTGCCAGGACACCACCTCTTCCTTTGTGCATAGGCACTCTGCCCCTTTTCCTAGTTCTGCAACCATAACCAAAATAACTCTCTTGGGTCCTGGGACAGGGTCAGGTGACTGAATAGGTAGAGCACCTGGCCTGGCGTCAGGAAGACCTGAGTTCAAATGTGGCTCAAACGCTAGTTGTGTGAGTCTGGGCAAGTCACTTAAGCCTGTTTGCCTCAGTTTCCTCATCTGTAAAATTCGCTGGGGAAGGAAATGGTATACCACTCTAGTACCTTTGCCAAGAAAATCCCGAAAAGGGTTCCAAAAGAGAAAGATACCTCTAAAAAACGATTAAACTACTTTCCCTTTGGCTCCACCTCACCCCTCCTCCTCCCCAGTTTTCCGACACAAAATACTCTTCCCTAGCCTTCAATCCCCTAAAGGTGTTGTCTCTCTCAATTAGAATGTAAACTCCTTAAGGGCAGGGATGCTTTTGTGTTTGGATGGGCAGCACTTAGCATAGTGCTTGGTACTCTGCCAGGGCTTAATAAATACTTTTTCCATTCATTTATTAATTCACTCTCCCCTCCATTGTGCTCAGATACCACAATTCTTCAGAATCTGTTTTATTCCACATCAAAGAAGGTTGTTGTTTACGTAATTGGAGTCTCTCGGGAGAAAATCGAGTCTCAGAGAAATTAAGCAACAAGTACCAGTATTCGAATCTGGTCTGTGACCTGAACTGGCTGCGATCCTGAATGTCACCTAACTTCTTTGAGCCTCAATTTCCGGCCTTGTAAAATAAGGAAAATAACAAAGTCTCCGTCCTATGCTTTGGTGAGGATAAAATGATATAATAACGTACATAAAACGCTTTGCAATGCTTTAAAGCTCCATACAAACGTTGTAAATTTTTTTTTGCAAATATTGCATTAAAAAAAACCGAGAACAGCTATTTCATTGCTTCGAGGAAATCCCTAGAGGAAATTCCTTCCAAAAATACAGATAGGCGCCTTATCGGTAACTTATGTCGTCTGTGAGTGGCATGTGGGTACGTGATTTGCCCAGGGTCTTAACTGTCTTTATGGATCAGAGGCGAGATTCGAACCCAGTTTTTCCGGCCTCCTAGGTCGGTTCCCTATCTCATCCATCTTGTTTTTGTTAACTTCCTCAGTTAACTCTACTGCAAAAGCCGGGAGTACTCTTGACAGAGGTACTGCGAAGCAGGCACTATTTAAGGACCTCCTTTGTCACATAACGCCGCGGGCTGTGAGCTCAAGAGCTCTTAAGCGCCAATTCGCCCCAGCTTGGAGAGAATATGAAGTCAGGAGGGGCGCCAACATCATAGCATTTGTAGCTAGAGGGATCCTTCACGCTTTCCTGCAGATGTGGAAACTGAGACACCCAAGAAGGCGGAACACTTGCTCTAGGCCATACACTAGTTCTAAGTAGCTGAGGCCTCAGCGACCATCCATCCCCAACCCAAAGTCTCTTCTTCAGTTCATTCATTCATTTAATCATTTACCGTCACCCTCCTCCACTTCCCCCTCACTGGGGCTGTTGGGGGTGGGGTGGTGAATCACCTAGTTCTTTCCAGAAGAAAGCAGCCTCAGGGGCGGGGTGAGTGGTTGGAGCCAGATCAGAGTCATTACCAGGGGCCAGGGTAGTCCATGGCCTCCAGGCAGCTGCTGACTGGGGTCGGGGCCCGCTGCGTCCAGAAGTGCAGCGAAGCGCCCAATGTTATTAGGTGTAACCAGGCAAGTCTCTAGATCCTTATCCTTCTCCCAGACCTATGAGATAACCCACAGTACGAAACTCATCTCTCCTACCACCTCTCCCCGCCCCCCAAATAATGGCGATGAACAAAGGCTATGTCGTACAATGGCTAGCGTAGCGTAGGAAAACCTGTATTCAAGCCCAATCCCCGATATCTACCGGTCACATTTATGTGATCCAGAGACAGTCACTTAATCTCTCCGGGTTCTCGGCTGCTCTCTAAGACTACAAGCGGCAAAGTAAATGCCAATCTACCGTAGTCAGTTAACTAGCGTTTATTAATACCTATGTACCAGGCACAGTGCTAGGCGCTCGGGACACAAAGAAAGACCAAAAAAAAAAAAAAAGAAAAGAAAGAAATAGCCCGGGTCCCTAAGCTTACATTCGAACGGAAGGGATCACATAAATAACAAAATAAATTTAATAATTCTATTATTTACATTAATTTTAAAAATAACGCATAAGGTAGTGGACTTGGGGTCACGAGGATCTAGGTTTAACTCCCACCTCAGACACTTAGCTGTGTTACCTTGGCTAATTAATCAATTTTTTTTTCGCCTTAGCTTCCTCATTTAGTTTGTAAATGACAGTTTTTTTTTAAAAAGCAACTACTTCTGTTTTAATTAATTAATCAGTTTAGTTTTCAACATTCACTTCCATAAACTTTTGAGTTCTAAATTTTCTCCCCTTTTTCATCTCCCCACTCCCCTAGATGGGCGTGCAATCTGATAAATTGACCGGTTTTTACTAGATCCCTTCCGGCTCTAGATCTATATAGCCTTTAAAAAACAACAAACTGTATTTCCGTATCTGGAGTCCCCTACAGTCTACACAGAAGGAGGGACTCACAAGTTCTGGTTAAAATAATTGTAAGAATAATAGCGTCATGTTTAGATCCTTCTTAAAGCGAGATTGCTGCTGTTTCGCTTTAGCGAGCGCTTTACTGGAGGTGTTCCGTACCTGTGTTGTAAGAGCGAGGAAAACTCCGAGGGCTTTACTTATTTTATATATTGTTCCCACATTTTCTCTCAACGTATCACAAAGGGAAATGTGCCTCCAGCCCAGACGTGGAACTACTCCGCACCGCCCCACAAACACACAATGTAACGACACTTCGAGATACCCAAGATAGCAGCACAAAATTTGCAACAACATATCCAACGTGACCCAATCCACACGTACAAAATCAAGCACAATCTATGAACACTAGTAAAAGGACGCGCGGGTACGAAGGACTCTTCGAAGTCGAAGTAATGCCTAGACCCAAAACGAGATAGAGGCACAAAATGAGATCCAGGCCGATGTGGAACACGACCGCCAAGAGACCGACTCGCGCTCGTCTGACGTGCCCAGTCCTACGCCCACTCACTCCTTGGTGGGACTTCGGGCCCTCTGGGCCCCAAACGCCCATTGCCAACTCGTTTCAGTACTTCTGTTAGTCGATCTCCCAGACACTACGGGCACATTTACACACAAAAGGGTCCCTCAGGTCAAGAGATTTATTTTGTCCTGCAATAGGGCTCAAGTGGAGCGGGAATTCCCCCCTATCACAAATATTTGTTGTATTGAATTGAATCCTTCTTTCTCGGAGGATCGGTTCCGCGATCACCCTCCTCCCAAAAGTCTTACTGTTAATATTCCGTCTAGCCTCGATTTTCCTCAGTGCTTCTCCCCCACACCAGAAGGCAAGCTGCAGGAGGGCAGGCATTGTTTTTTCTTTGTATCCCCGGAACCTAACTAAGTGACCGGCCTCCTCAGGCCCTTTGTCGATTGACTGAAGCATCCATAAGTTAAATGGGACGCCGGGTTAGGTAGTGAGCTCCTTGTCACTAGAGATTCACCGGGAAAGGCTGGACTGCTACTCTATCTGGGGTGTTGTCCAGGGAACGCTGCCTGCCAGTTTGTCTTGTGAGCTGCTCGAGAGTAGGAACCGTTTCGCTTTTGTCTCTGTCTCCCCCGGGCCTAGCCCAGAGCCTGGCATCTAGTAGGTACAAAATAATTGCTGGTCGAATTGAACTCGCTCTAGCCAGCGCTGGGCTAGGCAGGGCCAGGCAAGGTGAGGTCAGGGGAAAGCAACAGCTCCCGAGCTCCCCAACGGGACTGTGGAAGCTTGGAGCCGGTGGGAGGGGACCTCAGGCCTACTCCCCGGACGCTGGCAACTTCTGGCCTCCCACTCCCGCGCCGCCGCCTCCTTCTCCTCCTCGGGCCGCCTGGAGCGCGCAAAGCGGTCCCGCGCTAGCAGCCCGCCAGGCTAGAAAAGGCGGCTAATGCCTGCTGCGGCGGCAGCGGACGCTCCCTTCCCCCTTCCCCCTCCCTTTCCTTCCTCCCCCTCCCTCCCCCCTCCCCTTCCCTCTCCGGTACCCCACGCCTGCAGTCCCTTATAACCAGCCTCGCCGATCCGACCCTCTTGTCTGCCCTTCGGCCACAGCCCCCACCCGCCCCCAGCCCCTGTCTCCCCAGACTGGTTATCGCGGGCGTCAGCCCCCCCGCCCCGTTGCATAACCAGGGTTCTTCCTCTGCCGCGCTGGCAGCCAAAGGGTTAACCTCCGGCTAGCCCGCGGGTCCTCCAGGGGTAGGGGAGGGCACGGGTGGGGTGAGGTCCCGCGCGAGTATGGGACCTGGGGCCCAGATACAGAAGGCTAGCCAGTGCAGCGAGCCCCGGGGCCAAGCTCCGCGCGAGTCCGACTCGGGTCATCTATACCAGAGACAGGCAGCAAGGCACCTACAGGCAGCCAGTTCCGACAGCACCAGGTAGGGGAGCCAGAGCCGGGGGAGGGAGGGAAGGAGGGGAAGGGGGAAACCTGTGCCGGAGCAGGCTCCGGACTCAGGATCTGTCCGGGGTTGCGGGTGCATGTACAAGTCTGGGGACCGACCGGGCAGCGCGCAACATTTGGAATCGGGGACCCTCGCTCTGCCACTCACTGTGTGACCTTGAGCTCTCAATCTCTGAAAGCAGTTTTAAGGAGCCTACTATGTGCCAAACTGTGTATCGAGCTGGGGATCCAAATACAAAAGTGAAACACTTCCTGTCCTCGAGGACCTTACATCCTACTCAGCAAATCACTTAACCTTTCTGAGCCTCGGTTTCCTTTTCCGTAAAATGAAGGGGCTGGGCTAAATGAAGGGGCTAACAAGGCCTGTTCCAGCTCTAAATCTAGGCTCCTGTGATTGTAGCCACCTCCAAAGCTCTATTCAAGGTTGGACCGAGAGCACATGAGTCCCCCAGGGCTGGTGGGGAGCAAGAGATCCCACGAGGTAACAGACTGCTGTCTCCTTCCACAAGGGCATGGGAGGGAAGGAAATCTGAATTTTGCTGCCACTCTACACTCGAAAAGGGCATTTTTGGTGTCAGCGGTGCCTTTGAACTGGAGGATCAGTATTTATCCAAGGATGAGGGACTTCGGGACCAAGTGGGGTCAGAAGCCCTAAGACTCCTTCCTATTTGCAGAGAAAAGGATGTGTGTGAAGGGGGAACAACTTTTGTTGGACCTTTAGAGCTGAAGAGAGGGTCTGAATCTGTCATAACAGCTGAAATGGGGGATGGGGGTGGAGCAAGTCTGAGTCAGAAAAAAGACCCAACTTCCCTGTGGTCCCCCCCCCTTTTTTAAGACACCTAGTATAGGCTAGCTGCTAGGAATGCAAAGACAGAAGCAAAGCCCCTGCCCTCTGAGAGCTTACATTGTATTGGGCCAGCACAAAATGTAGAAATAGAACAAAGAAAATTGAGGAGGGAAGGAGCAGGGACAGCTTTGGGGAAGGGAATCAGGGAAGGCTTTATGGAAAAGGAGTGGAATTTAACCTTAAAGAAAAAAAGATTCTATGAGTCAGCGATGAGGAGGAAGTAAGTCCCAGGCATTACTCTGATGCCGCTGCTGATAATATTAATGGCTAACATGTATATCGCACTCATTCGAACCTAACTATGACCCTTTAAGGAAGGTACTTCTGTTATTCTAATTGTACAGATTGGGAAACTGAGACCTAGGGAAGCTAAGTCGCTTGCCCAAGGGCATACAAGTTGGTGACCAAGTCCAACACTTTGGCAATAACACCCCTGGGTCCAACTGGTTTGAGTTACTCTCTTCTCACTGAAGGCCAAAGGAAAAAAAAGGAGAGGAAGGGGCAGCAAGCAGTGGCCCAGGAGTCAGAAGGACCTGAGTTCGAATCTGTCCTCAGACACATGATACTAGCTGTGTGACCCTGGGCCAGTCACTTAACCCTGATTGCCTCACGGGGAAAAAAAGAAGGAGAGGAGCATGGGTTTTAAAAAATACAGTATGACAATGACAGTAATATATATATTTTTTCATTTCTGTAGTGCTTTAAAATAACCTAGATTGAGGTTAGGAAGACCTGGGTTCAAATATCACTGGATATGCTACTTATACGACCAAAGGAAGTCACTTATTTAACATCTGTGAGGCTCAATTTCCTCATCTATGAAATGGAGATGATGTATTCTTATAAGGCTGAAGTGAGGGGCTCCATTGAAATAATGTGTACAACTCTCTATGTATATGTTAGCTATTAATATTAATTCACTTTTACCTTGACCCTATGAGGTAGGTAGTTCAGTATTGTCTGACTCGTCAGGACTGCATTTAGGGTTTTCTTGGCAGAGATCTGGAATGGTTTGCCATTTCCTTCTCCAGCTCATTTTTACAGATGAGGGAACAGAGGCAAATAGGGTGAAGTGACTTGCCCAGAGTCACACAGCTAAGAATTGCTGAGAAGATTTGAACTCAGGTCTTCCTGACTCTAGGCCAGGCACTCTATCTATTGCACCACTTAGTTGCTCCAGAGGTAAGTCATAGGTACTACAGATAGCATCATTACTTCTTTCACAAGTGAAGAAACTGAGTCAGCTGGGAGAGTTGAGATGACTGAGAACAAAGTCTGAAGTCTTAAAGGCAGGGCTCCTTAGTCCAAATCCAAGGCTTTCTCCCTACCCTCTATAATGAAACAGGAAGTCTCCCACAAAGACCTAGAGAGTAGATCCTTTGAGCAGCCCTGAGACCTAGGGATTCTTGTCTTGAGGCATAAGAGTGGAGTTGAAGTTGGGACCAGTGAAGATAAGTTGCTGTGGTAGCAGAGTCCAGTATCCCCCAAGTGAGAGATTAGGGCTTGTTTGAAGCAGGATTCAAATCTAGGGCCTCTGCCTCCCAGTCCAAAGCTCTTCCCACTGAACCATGAAGTAGCTTCTGGCTGTTAGCCTTCTTTTTCTGATTGAAGGAAATTCATCAGGTCACTGGGGGTTCCTGTTCAGAAGGAAACATTCAGAATGGCTAGAAGGAAGGAGAGAGCCTGGCTGCCCGTTCAAAGCATCCATAGTGGGCTGATGTTAAGGAAACAGCATTTTAAAATGTTATCCTCTGCCACTGCAGGCAGCAAAGCAAAGCGGATGGAGGGGCAAAGTGGCCTTGGGCTCCAGTTCTGTCTCTGTTACTTCCTGGCTATATGACTCTAGACAAGTCACTTCACCTCTGAGTGCCCTAGGCAGCTCTCTCTAAGATTATATAAGTTGCAGAAGATTTGATGGGATGGGATGAGACTCACTAGGAATCTTTTCGTCTCTGGCTTCAAAGATCTACAGTTGAGAAGAAAGAAAAAAAAGTTTTCCACCTCCCTCGGCCCCACCATTTCCTATTTATTCAGTGGCCATAATTAACCTGAGAGGTTGTTGCTTCCTTGATTAGCTCAAAGTTCTTATCTCTTTCTATACTAACAAATTTAAAATGGACAACACACATTTCCTCCCAATGATGGAGTGAAATAGTGAGATTCTTCCCTCCTCTAACTCCATTTGCCTTTTTTTTTTAAACCAAATGAGAATGGTAACTTCTGTAACTGGTCCTCCTTTGTCAGATTACTACATTACAATAGTTAAGTGTCTCAGTCTGAATTCAAACCTGGATCCCACCTGACTCCAAGCCGGTCCTCTTTCCACAGTTTAATATCCCCAAATATATATTAAGGATCTATGCTTTTTTTGGGGGGGAGGCACCCAGCAACCCTGTAGGACTTAATAAGTAAGTCTTGCTGTGTAAATTATTTACTGGAGGCACATAAGTGATTGATCCATTGACCTTTTCTCAGAGGCAAGGCTCCAATCTACCTCCAATCCAAGTCTAATGCTTAGCACTAAGCCATGCTATCCCTATGTGTGCTCGCGCTCGGGTGTGCATACACACACATACATATACACACACATATATACATGTCTGATGTCTCCTTTTTTTTTTGGAGGGTTCTTTTGTAGCTCTGTCCCAGTCCTAAACCTTAGAAGATGAGCCCAAAACTGTACCTCCTAGAAATCTATTCAGATTTAAGTCATTCTTACCCCCTTCTTAAAGATATATGCATATGTACATATACATACAATATATGTTAATAAAGGAATACATGTGCATTTACATACAATACACATGTATATAGACATATATCTATATACGTATCCATGTGTGTATACACACACACACACACACACACACACACACACAAACACAGCTAGGTGGTGCAGTGGTTAGAACTCTGGCCCTGAAGTCAGGAAGACTCATCATCCTGAGTTCAAATGTGTCCTCAGATACTGATTAGCTGTATGACTCTGGGTAAGTCACTTGGCCCTGTTTGCCTGTTTCTTCATCAGTAAAATGAGCTGGAAAAGGACATAGCAAACCACTATATAAGAGTTATAAGAAAACCCCAGATGTGAGTCATGAAGAGTCAGACACAACTAAAAGAACTGAACAAGAAATATATTAATACATTATATATATTTATATATAATTGTTCTTTGTATCTCTAGCACCTAGTACATAATTGGTGCCTAATAAAGGTCAGAGGGGAAAGATACATAACTTTGTATCTATGTATACATACACACGTACATATATGCACATATATAATATGTGCATGTATACATACCTATTTCTATACATATTTACACATATGTAAATGTGTATATGTGCATGTAAATGTGTATTATACATTGATACATATTCATGTGTCTCCCCCACCCAAAAAAACCCCTTTATTAGATCCCAGCTATGTGCTAGCGATACAGAGACCTAAATGAAACCATCCCCAACCTCTGTGAGCTTACATACTACTGGATAGTCACAAGATGTAGAAAAATAGATAGTATGTAACCATACATATTTATATGTATATATACACATATATAACATAATATAATATAATATAATATAATATAATATAATATAATATAATATAATATAATATAATATAATATAATATAATATAATATAATATAATATAATATAATATAATATAATATAATATATAATATAATATAATATATATATACATATACATATACATATACATATACATATACATATACATATACATATACATATACATATACATATATATGTATATATTATATATATGTCACAGGGAGGGAACAGGCCTTTATTAAGCACCTACTGTGTATCAGGCACTGTGCTAAGTGTTTTACAAATATCATTTCATTTGATCTAGCATGGAACTCCTTTTTTTTTAAGGTAATTTTTTTTCTGCCTAACAGGCATTTATTTTCTCTCCCTTCTATCACTCACTCTTGAGAAAGAAAAAATTAGAATGAACAAAACACTTTGTTACAAATATGCATATTCAAGCAAAACATTTTACAGATGGTACGGTTAGGTCACGTAAGTTAGGCAAAGTTACACAAGTTTTGGTTTGTATGCATATATAAATGAGTACACGTATGTGTGTTTATAGATATG